GTATGTGTGTACTCCCTTTTATAAAAGACCATTCAGAAAGAGTTGGAATTCCAGTATGGTGCTTTATGGTAAACACTGGACTGCTAACCGTAAGGTTGGTGGGTCAAACCCATCAGCCACTCCTTGTAAACCCTATGCAGACTTGAACATCTTTTGGGTAGATAAAATTCAATCCATGTAAGTATTTTTTGCTCTATGAGAATGATGCATTCTAGCTACCTTGACTTTAAAATTAAATCTGTGCTGTCATAAATGTCTTCTTTGGCCTCAAAATGATAGTTCTGCAGTTTTAGGGTACAGAGTATCCTATTAGAATTCATTTCTTTGGGTTAGGATGATTGAAAATGGTAGTCAATCCCAGGGTATATTTAGTATGGGAAAATACATATCGATTTAAAATCCCTGGGTTCAGATCTCAGTTCTGCTTCTTTCTAACCATGTGATATGGGACATGTTTCTTAACATTCTCTTAGCTTCAAATTACTTATCTTTAAAACTGGGATAATTATATCCACTTCACAGGGACTGCTCAGTGAAGAGTCTCATTTTTTTAATTATGCAGGATAATGATAACAGTGATGAGGTGGTGAAGGTGACGGTGGTGATAGAGGTGGGGGGTGGAGGTGGTGGCATTGGAGATGGTTGTGGTGGTGGTGGTGGTAATGATGATGACGGTGACAGGTGAGGAGGGAGTGGTGGAGGTGGTGGTGATAGTGATGATGGTGATGGTGATAGAGGTGGGGGAGGGGTAGTGGGGATAGTGGTAGAAGTGATGGCAGGTGGAGATGGTTGTGGTAGTTAATGGTGGTTAATGGTGATTAATGGTAAAAGTGATTATTACTGAGGAGTTTCCGGGACTTCCCTTTTCCCATTGGATAACATTCCCAAGATCAGGAGGATGGAGTCTTGGTGTGAGAGGATCTGGGCTCTCTGTGAAGTGAATCTATGCACTGTACTGTGAGTTTCAGAAGCAGGTGCCAAGGACATGCCCAGGGAACAACATCATCTGCCTTCCCCTGAGAGGACAAAAAGAAGACAAGCCAAGTACTCTTGGAAATGAAGAGGCATGTAAAGACAGGACAGATTCTCCCAGAAATGGAAAGTTTTGAATTTCCCATACCCATATGTTCCCCACCTCCATAATCTTCCTTATCCCTAACCTTACTCTAATTTTGTTCCCATAAAATTTATCATCTTCTGTTGTTATCTGCCATCTAGCCAGTCCCCAATTCATGGAGACCCTGTGTGCAACAGAACAAACTGCTGCCTGACACTTCATCAAGGCCATGATCAGTTGCTGATCGGACCACTGTGATTCATAGAATTTTCAGTGGCTGATTTTTGGAAATGGATTGCCAGTCCTTTCTTCCTAGTCCAACTCAATCTAGATGTTCTGTTAACACTTGTCCTGCATCCTGGCAACATGCAAGCCTCCATTGTCTGAGAATCAAGCCTGGATCTCTAGCACAAAAATCTAGCATTCTACCACTGAATAACCATTGCTGCTAGTGTAATTAAAAAAAAAAAAAAAAAAGCCTTTAGTCATTTCATTTTTTTTTATCATGCTCTAACATAGACTATGGGAGTGCGACAGTAGCTTCATAAGATCAGCACTAGACTGCAAACCACAAGGTTGATGGTTTGAGCCCATTGGCCACTCCATGGGAGAAAGATGAGGTTTTCTGCTCCCATAAAGAGTCAAAGCCTCAGAAACCTTATATAGGGTTATGATAAGTCAAATCCACTCAGTGGCACTTAACAACAACAAAAAGCATACATTCTCATTTGCTCATTTTTTCCATGTATGTTTAGTTTGGGCTGTCTCTCCTGCCTCTCTTTCCATCACAAGATAATTTTCACCAGGACAATCTTTGTTTGGTTCACTGTTATATTCCTAATGCCTAGAATGTTGCCTGGCCCAATGGTATTGTTGTTGATTGATGTAGAGTCAGTTTGACTCATAGCAACCCTGTATAGGGTTTCTGAGGAGCGGCTGATGAGGCTTGAACCACCAACCTTGCAGTTCAAACTGACCTTGCAGTCCAGCGCATTAACCCACAGCACCACACCAGGACTCCTGGCACAATGTATATTATATATGTTGTTATTAAGTGCTGCCCAGTCCATTCTGACTCATAGCAACCCTGGATAGGGTTTCCGAGAACAGTTGGTGGGTTTAAAGTGATGACCTTGTGGTTACCAGTCCAGTGCTTACCCTACAGCGCCACACCAGGGCGCATACATATTATTAGGTGCTGTTAAGTCAGTTTCAACTCATAGTGTTCCCTATGTACAACAGAAGGATGGTGTTCAGTCCTTCACCATCCCCACTCTTATTGCTGGTTGAGCTCATTCCTACAGCCACTGCGTCAATCCATCTTGTTGAAGGACTCCCTCCTTTGCACTGACCCTCTAGTTTGCCGAGCATTATGTCTTTCAAGAACATCATACATGATGACATCAAGAACATCTTACATGAAGAAAGCAAAAGATCGTTAGAAAGACAGGAAAGTAAGAAAAGTCCAACATGGGTTTCAGAAGAGATTCTGAAACTTACTCTTGAACATAGAGAAACTAAAGTAACTGGAAGAAATGATGAAGTAAAAGAACTGGTCAGAAAATTTCAAAGAACTGTTTAAGAAGACTAAGTAAAGTATTTTAATGAAATGTGCAAAGACCTGGAATTAGAAAACCAAAAGGGAAGAGCACATTCAGCATTTCTCAAGCTAAAAGGACTGAGGAAGAAATTCAAGTTCCGGGTTACAAGATTGGTTTCTATGGGCAAAACATTGAATGCCATAGGAAGCAGCAAAAGAAGATGGAAGAAATATAGTCACTATATCAAAAAAACTGGTCACTATTCAACCATATCAAGAGGTAGCATATGATCATGAATTGATGTTAGTGAAGGAAGACGTCCAAGTTGCACTGACGGCATTGGCAGAAAAAACAAGGCTCTAGAATTGACGAAATACAGTTGAAATGTTTTAATAAACTGATGCTGCACTGGAGGTCCTCATTCATCTAAGCCAAGAATTTGGAAGATAGCTACCTGGCCAAGAAATCCATATGTGTGTCTAGTTAAAAAAAAGATGGCCCAACAGAAAGCAGATAATATTGAACAATATTATTAATATCACAGACGTGTAAAATTTTGCTGAAGATAATTCAAAAACAGTTCTCAGGATGCAAGGATCAAACCAGATTCAGAAGAGGAGTTAGAATGAGGAATTACCATTGGTGACGTCAGATGGATCTTGGTTAAAAGCATGGAATTCCAGAAAATATTTACTTATGCTTTGTTGACTATGCAAAATCATTCAGTTGTGTGGATCATAACAAATTATGGATAGCATTGCAAATTCTGGGAATTCCAGAACACTTAATTGTGTTTATGAGGAACCTGAACATAGACCAAGAGACAGCGGTTCAAATAGAGCAAGGGGATAGAGAATGGTTTAAAATCTGGAACAGCATGTGTCAGGGTTGTATTCTTTCACCATAGTTATTCAATCTGTATGCTGAGCAAATAATCCAAGAAGCTGGATTTTATGAAGAAGGTCCTATACAGTATCAGGATTGGAAGAAGACTCATTAACAATCTGTGATATGCAGATGACACAACCTTGTTTGCTTGAAATGAATAGGACTTGAAATACTGATGAAGATCAAAGACTTCATTGTAGATTGCACTCCAATGTATAGAAAACAAAAATCCTCACCACTGGACCAATAAAAAACATCATGATAAATGCAGAAAAGATAGAAGTTGTGAAAGACTTTGTTTTACTTGGATCCACAACACTCATGGAAGTGACCAATCTCATATGAAAGAGCTCTTTAAAATGTTAAAGAGCAAATGTTATTTTGAGGACTAAGGTGCACGTGACTCAAGCCATGGTAATTTCAACTTCTTATAAGTATGTGAAAGACAATAAATAAGGAAGACTATAAACGAATCAATGCATTTAAATTATGGTGTTGGAGAATAATATTAAAAGTACCATGAAGTGCCAAGAGCTCTGGTAGTGTAGTGGTTACAAGTCGGGCTGCCAACCTCAAGGTCAGCAGTTCAAAACTACCAGCGATTCCACAGGAAAAAGATAAGGCGTTCTGTTCCCATAAAGATTTACAGCTTCAGAAACCCTGTGCAGGGTCACTATGAGTTGGAACCGACGCCATGGTACTTAACAACGACAACAACAACGAACTGCCAGAAGAACAAACAAATCAGTCTTTAAAAAAGAACACCCAAAATGTTCCTTAGAAATGAAGATGGGAAACTTTGTCTCTTGTACTTTGACATATTGTCAGAAAGGAACTGTCCCTGGAGAAAGACATCATGTTTGGTAAAGTGAAGGTCAGCAAAACAGAGGCAGATCCTCAATGAGATGGATTGGCACCGTGAGAGCAAATATGTAGCAACATACTTGTAAGAAAGGTGCAGGACTGGGCAGTGGTTTGTTCTGTTGTGCGTACGATTGCACAAAAGAACTGACTCTTTAGCACTTAACAGCAGGTCTTTCTCCAGGGACTGGTTCCTCCTTATCATGTACGAAGTACATGAGACAAAGTCACAGCATCCTCCCTTCTACGGACCATTCTGGTTATATTTCTTCCAAGACCGATTTGCTTGTTCTTCTAGCAGACCACGGTACATTCAATATTCTTTGCTAACACCATAGTTCAAATGCATCAAATCTTCTTCAGTCTTCTTTATTCATTGTCCAGCTTTCACTTGCATATGAGGCACATAACAGATGCTCAACAAACATTTGTAGAATATACAAATAGTGAAAGGGAGAGATGACTGTCTGCCTTTGTTCCCCTGGGACAGGTCCAGCTTCCTGGATTGTTACCTGGGTTCTCCACAAACAAACAGAGAGGGATGGGGTGTGGTCCTGAGGGCACGGCATGTAAGCTTTCAGACTGGGCCCTGGCTGGGACTGTGGAGGTAACGGGCAGTGCTTAGCCCTGGGGTCAGCACCCAAACAGTGGCCATGGCCATCAGGAGGCCAGAGCCCTGGGTCTCTGCATCTCTGCTGAGCCAGAGGCTGAAGGTTGAAGAGAAAACACTGGAACTGGAATTCGAGATCTTAAGCGTGAGGTTTCACGAGGCTGGCAGATACGCCCTGCGCCTGTCAGTCGAGAACCCCCTGCAAGCTGGCTCTGGTGTGGGGATACAGTTGCAAGTGAATGACAGGGACCCGGTCCCTACCTGCTCCACTGTCACCAATGTCATTGAACAGCAGGATCCTGGCCAGGGTCTCGCCCTCACCAGGAACAAATTTGTCTTCACCTTGCCCAAAGGTATGACGTAAGGTTGGGAATGGGGGAGGAAGAATCAGAAATCCCTGGCCTGCCTGTGTGGAGCCTCAGTGAAATTGGGAGGGTCAGAGCTCTAGACCAAATCCCAAACCTCTTCCTGAAGGACCTTGGGCAAATACTAGCCTGCTGTGAGTCCCTGCCTCCTTCAGTGTGACATGGGGACATTGGTGCTGGTCATACAGTGTCCAATGAAAAGGAAGTTAAAGAACAGATGAGAAATGGCTCTGTGGCAGCCTGACAAGTAACATTAGAAGCAGCTCTTGACTGGCCAGCCCTAAGCAGCAGGACTGTGGATGTAGACAATGGACAGAAGAGATCCAGAACAGGTGTAGAGGCAGAAATGCCAAGCAAGAAATAGTTGGTGAGCTAGAAGGAGCAGTTGAGCCATGCCTTGACTGTAAGGCCACTCAGGAAGGCTTCCTGGAGGAGGAGGAGCAGGAGAGCACAGGGGAAACCAAGTCCAAGGCCTTCCAGTAGCTAGAACTCAGGGGCAGGTTGAACTCTTCCCTTAGGCTGGTGTGGGGATCCAGGGCCATCTCACAAGCTAACAGCTATTTCTCTTCCACCTGTGTGCTTGAACCGGATGTCAGGAAATTGTGGCAGTGGTGGGGGGTAAGCATGGGAGGGTATGAGAAGAGGTTTCAGCATCTAAGTATCTATCAGGGAAATCCTAGCAAGCCTACTTGGCTTCTACTCAAAACCCAGGCAGCCCAGGATTCCCAAAGGCCCTGCCTGTCCTACCCCTGTTGGAGGCAGCAAGAACCCAGAGCCCATCTCTGAACCCATGTTCCTCCTCCCCCCATCAGGCTTCTGCAAGAACGATGGGCATCACGACGCACGGCTTCGGGTGGAGGCACTGAAGCTGGATGGGTCCTCAGCAGGGACAGCCCAGAGGGTGGGTGAGGCCATCTTTCCCATCTACCCTCGCCCAGACCAACCCCACACGAACCTCAATGCTCAGGACCATGAGGATTTGTACCGCTACTATGGCACCTTGGCTCTGCTCTGGCCCAGCACAGACCCCACAGGCCGCCACTGCGGAGACCTAGCCTACAGTGTGGCCTTCCATGTGCACCGGGCCCCAACGCTGCCCACCTCCAACTGCCTTCCAGGGGTCAGCCAGCAAGAGCCCCAGTTCCCCAGTCTGCAGGTGGGTGCTCATTGGGTCTCACCCCTCCCCAATGTAGAGGACCCAAGCTCTCAGGTAAATGTAGGCTGCTGCCCCCATCATCACTGAGCAGGCAACATTGCTTCCCAATCTGCATTAAAGGGCCCTTCATGCCTGTCTATGGCCTGACAGCTCATTTCATTTTTTCATTGGCTAACACTCCAAAGCTACACCAGAGTTTGTTTATCCACTCACCTATTGGTTGCTTCTCTCTTTTTGCTATTATATGAAGCTGCTGTAAACATTTGTGTACAGGTTTTTGTAGGGACATAAATTTCAACTCATTTGGTCAGACCCCTAAGACCTCATTTAGGCCTGGTGTGGTGCTGCACGATAAGCTAAGGACAGCAAGGTCGGTCTGAACCTCAAGGTCAGTGGTTCAAACTCACCAGTCACTCCTTAGAAATCCTATACAGGGTCGCTATGAGTCAGAAATAATACAAAAATGGCTGCCACCATATATTGACAGAGAACTTCCAGCGTTTCAAGCCAGATTCAGAAGAGGTCACAGAATAAGGGATATCATTGCTGACATCAGATGGATCTTGGCTGAAAGCAGAGAATATAGACAGATGTTTATCTGTGCTTTATTGGCTACACAAAAGCTTTTGATTGTGTGGATCATGACAAGCTAGGGACAAATTGCAAAGAATGAGTATTCCAGAACACTTAACTGTGCTCATGAAGAATCTGTACATGGACCAAGAGGCAGTTGTTTGAACAGAACATGGGAATATTGAATGGTTTAAAATTAAGTAAGGTGTGCGACAGGGTTGTATTCTTTCACCATACTTATTCAATCTGTATACTGAGCAAATAATCTGAGAAACTGGATTATATGAAGGAAAATGTGGTATCAAGATTGGAGGGAGACTCATTAACAACCTGTGATATGCAGATGATACAACCTTCCTTGCTGAAAGTGAAAAGGGCTTAAAATACTTACTGATGAAGATCAAAGACCACAGCCTTCAGTATGGGTTGCACCTCAATATAAAGAAAACAAAAACTTCATCGCTGGACCAATAAACAACATTCTTATCAATGGAGTAAAGATTGAAGTTGTCAAAGACTTCCTTTTTCTCATACCAACCATCAATACTCATGAAAGCAGCTGTCAAGAAATCAAACTACGTATTGCATTAGGCAAATCTGCTGCACAAGAGCTTTTTAAAGTGTTGAAGAACAAAAATGCCAGTTTGAGGATTAAGGAGCACCTGACCCAAGCCATGATATTTTCAATAATTTCATATGCATGTGAAAGCTGGACAGTGAATAAGGAAGACTGTAGAAGAATTGATACATTTGAGTTATGGTGTTGGAGGAGAATATTGAAAGTGCCATGGGCTGCCAAAAGAACCAATAGATCTGTTTGGAAGACGTGCAGTCAGAGTGCTCCTTGGAGGCCAAGATGGCCAAAGTTCGTCTCTCATACTTTGAACATATTGTCAGGAGGGAGCAGTCTCTTGAGAAGGATATCATGTTTGATAAGGTGGAGGGTCAGAGAAAAAGAGGAAGACCCCCAACGAGATGGATTGGCCAAGTGGCAGCATCAATGGACTCAAGAGTGACAACAATAGTGAGGTTGGCCCAGGCTCAGGCAGTGTTTTGTTCTGCTGTGCATAAGGTCGCTATGAGTCAGTGCTGACTCGATGGCACCTAACAGCAACAACAAATAGATGGATGGAGCCCTGGTGTGGTGTTGTAGGATTAGCACCAGACTGCTAAGGTTGACAGTTCAAACCCACCAATCATTCCTTTGACACCCAATACAGGTCACTGTGAGTCAGAACCAACTCCATTGCACTTAACAACAGCAACAATAGATGGGTGGAGTCCTAGTATGGCACTGTAGGATAAGCACTGAACTACTGACCCCAAGGTCAATGGTTCAAACCCACCAACCAGCCGCTCCTCGATAACACTATATAGGGTTGTATGAGTTGGAACTGGCTCAAAGACACTTAACAACATCAGTAGCCATAGATGAGTGGACTCCATGAGTGGACTCCTGGTGTGGCGCTGTAGGATAAGCACTGGACTGCTAACTGCAAGATCAGCCATTCAGACCCACCAGCTGCTCCTCGGAAACCCTATACAGGGTCACTACAAGTCTGAACCCACTCAAAGGCACTTAATAACAACAATAGATGGGTTGTCCTCAAGTCAGTTTCGACTCATAATGACTTTGTATAGGGTTTCTGAAAGCAGGTGGGTTTGAACTACTGACCTTGTAATTAACAGTCCAGTCCTTATCCTAAAGCACCACACTAGGACTCCCAATAGATGTGTTGCTATTAAGTGCCATCAAGTCAATTCCAACTCATAGCAAACCTGTATAATGTTTCCAGGAGTTTGAACAGCCAATCTTGTAGTTCAAACCAACTTTGCCATCCTGTGCTTATCCTAGAGCACCACACCAGGTCTCCTACGAGATGGGTGCTGGTTTTGTTGTTGTTGTTAAGTGCTATCAAGTCAGTTCCAACTCATAACGGCCCTATATAGGGTTTCCAAAGCCAACCTTGTGGTTCAAACCGACTTTGCAGTCCCGTACTTATCCTACAATGTCATACCAGGACTCCTAATACATGGGTTGTTGTTGTTGTTGCTGTTGTTAAGAGCTGTCAAGTAGGCTCCAACCCATAGTGACCCTGTATAGGGTTTCTGAGGAGCAGCTGGTGGGTTTGAACTGCCGACCTCGTGGTTCGCTGTCCAGAGCTGATCCTACAGTGTCACAACCAGAGTTGGATAGATGGGCTGTGGTATCCAATGATTATCTTGATTTGTAATTCCCTAATGACAGAAGATGTTGACTTTCTATATGCTTACTTTCCATCTGCATATCTTCTATGGTAAGATGTCTTCTGAGATTTTTTTGCCCATTTTTAAGTTGGGTTGTTTGTTTTCTTATTGTTGGGTTTATGAGTTCTTTGTGTATCTTGGATACAAAGTCCTTCATCAAATGTGTGTTTCACAAATCTTTTCACTGTGTCTGTGATCTGTCATTTTATTCTTATAATAGTGTCTTTCGAAATAGCTTTACATTTTAACTTTAATGACGTTGAAGTAATAAATATATTTTATGGGTTCTGCCCTTAGTGTTGTATCTAAAACTCATCACCAAACCCAGGATCACCTAAAGTTTTCTCCTACGTTATCTTCTAGATTTTGTACAGTTTTGCATTGAACATATAGGTCTGTGATCCATTTTGAGTTATTTTTGTGAAATGTGTAAGGTCAATGTCTAGATAGATTCTTATTCTTTTTTTTTTGGTTGTTCTAGCACCATTTGTTGAAAAGACGATCCTTTTCCCGCTGAATTGTCTTTCTCCTTTGTCAATGATGACTTGGCTGGATTTGTGTGGATCCAATTCTGTGCTCGCTACTCTGTTCCTCGGATCTGTTTGCATGTGTATTCTTTCACCAGTTGGAAGGGGTTTTATTTTTGCTTTGTGCGGTGGATGAATATGCCCTGAAACTCTTCAGTCCCCAACCTCAATCTCCATGTTCTTACCAGATTCCACTGGAGTCCGTGAGTGACCAGGAGTCTGATGTCTCCTCTGTGTGCCCACCCTCAAGCTCATCCAGCTCTTACCACAGCCAGGAGGGGCTCAGCCCTGAGCCAGGACCCTGGAAGTCTCAGGCCCAGGTGAGAGGGGGCAGGGTCTAGTCCTTGACCATCCTGTAGGAGGGTTCCACAATATGGCCAAGTCCTGCAATCAGGCAGTGTGTCTGGTATACTTCACAGTCAGCACCCTGGAAACTGGGCAAGTAAATTTCACATGTGTAGAAACCAGGCCCCAAGGGTACCTAATACCATCTAATGCCAACATTTTCTGTGATCCTTAGTGAAAAAATAATGTTGGGCCTCAAAGCTTGATCCATTCCCATGTTCAGAGTGCTACCGGCTTGAAGATGGTCAGTTACAGTATGGACATCACACATGACCCTGTAAGGCATGTACTAGAAGGGACACTCTGATGAGGATGCACATGTTGAATTTGGGAGCTAAGAAAGACTTCATCAAGGAGATGGCATTTGAGATGGAATTTTCATCCATCCATTCACTCATCATCCATCCATCTCTATCCATTTCCATTCATCCATCCATTCCTGTCCAGCCAGCCAGCCAGCATTTGTTAATTACTGCCTCTGTCATATCTCTTGTTAGGTGGGTGAGACTTAGGGATAGCAATTCTGGGGGCTGGGTGAGCATTTCAGGAGGAGGGTCCAGGGTTGTATGGCTAAGGGGAAGGAAAAGCTGGAGGATGCACTGAGGTTAGAATCGAGGGTTGGCAGACACGCCTGACTCTTGTATCACCCAGCACTGGTCTGGTACTGCGGAGGAGTCCCAATGGTGGGCTGAGTCTGGGCGGGGATAGAACCCATGGATGGGAGAAAATTAAAGGAGTCAAGGGCATAGTGACAGAAAAAAAAAAGGTATTCAATTCAGGAAGCACTGGGGAGTCACCAAATGGTCTTAAAGAGGAAAGAGACACCACCTGGGCTGTGGTTTAGGCAGATTAGCGTGGAAGTGTGTGCCAAGAGAACCAGGTGAAAAGGCCGGGCACCTGGAGACAAGCTCAGCCCGATATATGGGCCACATCAACATCTGTTCATTCATTCCTTAGTCAACCAATCAACAAATACTCTTTGGCCACCTACTCTGTCCCCAGCTCTTTTATCAGTTGGTGTGAGTTTTACTTTGGCTTTTTGGGTTTGTTGGGTGCCAAGGATATAGCGGTGAGTTTGTCAAATGAATCCTATGTGAAAGTCTGTTCCCTCTGACTGTAAGCTCCCAAAGTGCCAGGCTCTGTGCCTCCTTTTGTCTCTTGAACTACTCCTTTGTCCTACAGTTTATCACAGGACTGGGTGTGTAGGAGGCACTGAGCTTACAGAGAAGGGTCCTTGTTCTCCAGGTCTCCACCCATCCTGACCACCCCAAAACCAGGGGACCCCGTGGACAGACTTTCC